TTTTTTTTTGTGTGTGTGCGTGTGGGGGGTGGGGAGGGAGTTTAAATTGTTTAGCAATGCAAGAAGTCAAGATGATGTTGTTCTTTGTTCTACCCAGCCAGGAGTTATCGTAGAACTCCGTTTTCATTTGTGAGAAATAGGGTCTGGTCGCACCGGCGCTCTGCTCTTCTAAGCTAACAGAACTCTGGTAGCTGTTCTCAGATATTAGAACTCAAAACCGCAACCAAGACAGCAGCCACATCCTGACTGTCAAACATAGCTCAGTGCAGAACAGTGGCAGTGGGACCAGATCCTTCTTTCAGTGATTGGCAGTGTTTTTTTTGGCGTTGCGTGAAAATAACGCGCTGCTAACAACAGAGAAGAGGAGCTTCTCCGAAGAAAAAGACGGAACGAAAAATTGATATAGAAATTCAAAGAGTCGATAGCGAATCTGAAACAACGATTCTGAAATGCACGCGGCAATTTTCAGATTTTTAAATCGTTTTTTATCATTTTTCCATTTTTTTGGATTCTTTATAGGGGGCAGTACATGTGCAACGACTCGTGCCACAGGAGGGGGCGAAAACAAGTAAAAAGGCCAGATTGGGGTTGTTGATCCCAAGCGGTAGTACTCTAGGATGAGAACGAAAGTGGTTTTCTCTCACTATGGTTAAACCACCAGTACATGCAAAAGTCTCAGCGGTTAACAAGCCGTGACAATGATGACGAACGGGCCACTACGGGAGCGCCCAGATTCATCCTACTACCGTCTTCCCCCGAACATAACGCACCCTGAAAATGAACGTATACAAGGTATGTTTCCGGCCCGATACAGGCAAAATAGGGGTGCGTTGTGTTCGGGGGAAGATGGTAGAAACACTTCGACTCACTCTATTTCTTCCTGCGACCGATATATGGGAAAGGTACTCGTGGTTTAACATCTGTGACGGCACTGACGACATGAGTCAGCAGAGAAAACTTAGAAAAGTGAAATGCATTCATTTTCATTTTCATGTTCTCTGCAGTGAAGTTGAAGTGCAGGCCCTGCCATCTTCACCCGAAAATAACGCCCGGGCATTATATTCTAATTTCTAACTGACACTTCAAAAATCAGATTTCTATTTTTACTCGCTTTTTGTTTTATAATCACAAGTGGACCCGCCGCAGCTACGCTGCGCCCGAAGGGGCGGGGAAGGAGAGGGAGGAGATTGTTGCAGAATGTTGGCGTTTTTTTTTTTCTTTTTTTTTTGCAACGGTACCCCTTCTCTCTCTCTCTCTCTCTCTCTCTCTCTCTCTCTCTCTCTCTCTCTCTCTCTCTCT